TATTTGTCAGTGGTAATCTTGGAGTCATTACTGGTTGCAGGGGCAGGGGCGGGGAAGTCTTTTATTTGCTTTTCCACTTAATTGCTAGTTCCCTCCAAACTTTGAAGCTACTGCTTCACTGTTTTCTAATATCCAGGGTGGCCTTTGATGTTTGGTGTTGTTCTCTTGTCAGTAACATCTTTTTGCTGTTTCTCTCTCTCTGAAAACTTTTAGGATTTTCTCTTTATCTTTAGAGTTCCCGTATTTCACCAAGAAATGTGGACGTGAGGATCCTTTTCCAGTAAACTTGCTCACCACTAGGTGGCCCCTTTACATCAGAACACTTTAGTTTTTCTATAGCTGAATGTTTTCCAGTTGTTTCTTAGGTTATTTCCTTCCCTCCCTTTTTTTCTGTTCTCGCATTATGGGATCCCTTTGAGATGGTTGTTGAACCTCTTGGATTTATCCTCCCTGTCTCTCTTAAGTTCTTCTAAAATAATCTCCTTGCCTTCTTTGCTTTACTTTCTGGGAGCTTTCCTGGACTTGATCTTCCAGAGCACTGATTTTCCGCTGTATTCAAACTTTCTGTTAAATTTTTAAATCTTTGTCATGTTCCCCCCACCACTCCCCCCAAAAAACTATTGTTAGCTTATTGCCCTTTTTTACAGTCTTTCTTGTTTTAAGGACACAGCATCCATCTTTATTCTGAATGTACTAGTTAGGATTTTTCAGAATCTGCATTTCTACTAGATCCATAGGTGATATGCCCACTCGCAGGCTGTTCCTGGCAGATACTCACCTGGTGTAGTTTTGCTCTGAAGGGGCATCTTCCTGCAGTCTCTGGTGACCATGTCCCTGACCGGGAGTCCCCTTCTCAGCAGGACAAGTGGCTATCAGCACATCACGACTTCTCTGATTGGGTGTGGAGAAACTTCCTGCTTCAGAGAGCCACCCCCAGGGATTGAGAGGAGTGGCTACACAAAGGAGTTTAGCAAGGTCCACCCTTTTCCACTGGATTCTGAGCACAGTCATATTTAGCTTATGCTTTTTGATAAAATTTACCTATGATGAAACACACAGATCTCAAGGATACAGCTGGATGTTTTGACAAATGTATACACCTTTGTAACCAGTTCCCCCAACTAAGATATAAAACTTTCTCATACTCCCATAAGCTCCTTCCTGCCCATTCTCCACCTCCTGAGGCAACTACTGTTTCCATTTCTTTCACAATATTTTTCCTTGTTCATTTTTTTTCTTCAAGTATAGTTGACTTACAATATTATATTCATTTCAGGTGTATGATATAGTGACTTAATATTTTTATAGATTATATTCCATTTAAAATTATTATAAAATATTGGCTATATTCCCTGTGCTATAAAATATATGCTTGTAGCTTATTTATTTTATAAACTTAAATCCCCTACCTCTATCTTGCCCCTTGCCACTTCCCACACCCCACTGGTAACCACTAGTTTGTTTTCTATATTGTGAGTCTGTTTCTGTCATTCATTTGTTTTATTTTTTAGATTCCACAGATAAGTGATAACATACAGTGTTTGTCATTCTCTGTCTGACTTATTTTACTAAGCACAATATCCTCCAGGTCTAACATGTTGTTGCAAATGGCAAAATTTCATTCTTTTTTATGGCCGAGTAATATTCCATTGTATGTATATGTGTGTGTGTGTGTGTGTATGTATGTATGTATGTATGTGTGTGTGTGTATATAAATGTCTATTTTAGGTCTTTTGCCCAGTTTTTAATCAGGTTTTTTTTTGATATGAGTTGTATGAGCTGTTTATATATTTCAGATATTAACCCCTTATTGGTCATATCATTTGCAAATATTTTCTCCCATTCAGTAGGTTGTCCTTTCATTTTATTGATGGTTTTCTCTGCTGTGCAAAAGCTTTTAAGTTTAATTCTTATTTGTTTTTGCTTTCGTTTCCTTTGCCTTAGGAGACAGATCCCCCCCAAAAAAATGTTGCTATGATTTATGTCATAGTGTTCTGCATATGTTTTCTTCTAGTTTTATGGTTTCCAGTCTTACATTTAGGTCTTTAATCTATTTTGAGTTTATTTTTGTATGTGGTGTGAGAAAATGTTCTAATTTCAATTCTGAATGATAATCTTGCTGGATAGAGTATCCTAGATTGTAGGTTTTTCCCTTTCAGCTCTTTCAATATATTATGCCACTTCCCTTCTGGCCTGCAAAGTTTCTACAGAAAAATCAGCTGATAGCCTTATGGGGGGTTCCCTTGTGTGTGATTCTTTGTTTTTCTCTTGCTGCCTTTAGAATTTTCTCTTTAACTTTTGACATTTTAATTGTGATATATCTTGGTGTGGGTCTCTTTGGGATCATCTTGTTTGGAACTCTCTGTGATTCCTGTACTGAATATCTTTTTCTTCAGGTTTGGGAAGTTTTCAGCCATAATTTCATCAAAATTTTTTTTTTACTCTTTTCCCTCTCTCTTTTCCTCCTGTGAATGTTAGTATGCTTGATCTTGTCCCAGAGTTCCCTTAAATTATTCTCATCTTTAAAAAATTTTCTTTTTGCTGTTCTGATTTCCATTTTTCTACCTTCCAGATCACTTATGTGTTCTTCTGTATCACCTAGTCTGCTGTTAATTCCTTCTAGTGTGTTTTTCATTTCAGTTATTTTATTCTTCAGCTCTGACTGGTTCTTTTTTTTATATATATACTTATTTATTTATTTGTTTTTTTGGCTGTGTTGGGTCTTAGTTGCGGCATGAGGGATCTTCACTGAGGCATGAGGGATCTTTTGTTGTGGTGCGCCGTCTCTTTGTTGCAGCGCTCAGGCTTCTCTCTAGTTGTGGTGCACGGGTTTTCTCTCTCCAGTTGTGGTGCGTGGGCTCCAGGGCACGTGGGCTCAAGTCTGCAGCACGCTGCCTCTCTCATTGAGGTGTGCGAGCTCAGTAGTTGTGGCACACGGGCTTAGTTGCCCCGTGGCATGTGGGATCTTAGTTACCCAACCAGGGATCAAACCCGTGTCCCCTGCATTGGAAGGCGGATTCTTTCCCACTGGACCACCAGGGACTGGTTCTTTTTTATATTTTCTAGTTCCTTGTTAAAATTCTCACTGTGTTCATCTGTTCTTTTCCCTGATTCAGTTAGCATTCTTGTTACAAATGCTTTGAACTCTTTAACTGGTAAATTATCCCTGTATCATTCGTTGTTTTTTTCAGTTTAAAAACTTTTTTGGAGTATAGTTGATTTACAGTGTTGTGTTAGTTTCAGGTGTACAGCAAAGTGAATCAGTTATACATATACGTATATACACTTTTTTCTTTTTAGATTCTTTTCCCATATAGGCCATTACGGAGTATTGAGTAGAGTTTCCTGTGCTACACAGCAGGCTTTTTTTTTTCTTATTCTTTCATTTGAAACAAATTCCTCTGTCTCTCATTTTGCTTAACTTTCTCTCTATGAAATTAGGTGAAACAGTTACCTATTCTGGTCTTGAAGGGGTGTCCTTGTGTGGGAGCGTCCCTATGCAGACTACATGTGCCCAGTGGCTTTGGTGGGAAAGCGGGATTTGAAATGAGCATGGGTCACGTCTTTCCCCAGGGTGTGCTGGCAGCTGTCACACACAGCTGGAGATGGGGCTGGGAGGTCGGAGGTGGGGCTGGAGATGAAGGAGCTAGAGCCAGAGCCTGGTGTGAGCCACTGCTTCTCCTCTGTTCAGTGGCTGACACCGCCCTATACAGGGTCGGGGAGGGTCCCAAGGTACTAGAGCAGAAGCCCTGAAGTTCAGGTTCCCTCTAAGTGCACACTCTCCTCCATCCCAGTATTGACACCTTCACCCCAGAGGGGAGGAATGCTGAAGCAAGAGAGGCTGGAGCAGGCGCTCGTCGTGGACTGGGGCACACGCAGGGGCAGTTGTGGGAAACTGGCTAGAGCTCTGGGCAATTTCAATCTGCTTCCTCTGTCTTGCTCTCGGGAGTAAGGAAGCAGATGTATGCTCTTCACGAGCCGAGTCTAGGTTTCTTACACCCTTCCTGTTAGCCTCAGTAGTTTTCAAACCAGCTAAGGAGACTCCTGGTGTCAGAGCCCGGGGGTGGGGTGTTCCCATATGTGGTTTGAACTGCTCACTCCCCAGGGAGGATCTCTGAGCCTGTGTAATCCCCCTCCTCTTCTGTGTCCCCTCCCAGGGGTATAGGTCCCAACCTGTTCGCTTCTCTTCCCTTCTACCCAACTCTGTATGGATCTATCTTTACAGCTTTGGTTGTGTAAGTCTTTGTGCCAGTGTCCAACTTGTTTTCAGTGAGAATTGCTCCACCTGTAGATGTAGGTTTGATGTATTCCTAGGGGGAGGTGAGCTCAGCGTCCTCCTCCTCTGCCATCTTCATCTCCTTCCAGGCACTTGTGCTTTAGTTATGTTTTCAAGTACTAAGAAATCAGGTTCTTTTTATGTTGACCTTGAAAATCTTATTTTTTGCTTGGTCTGGATTTCCTGACATTTTGACACCAGGAGAGCAAGACGACCTCCAGAGGTTTCTAACTGTTTTGTGCCAATGCCTCTTGCTTTCTATTTCCTGTCTGTGCAGAGACCCTGGAGAGTGATATGTCTGTTTTCCCCTGTTCTTGAAATGTATAGAAATGTAACATGAAAATGTCAATGTGAACAAAATGCAGCCTTTTCTTTTCCAGTCTCTCGTTTTCCTTTGGCCCCTTTGCCTGGTCGGTGTTGACAGCTGGTATCACCCACGCTTCTGTTCCCCCAAACCCTCCGTGCCCTGCGAACACCTCCAGAGGCCCCGCTCCAGCCTCGCCCTCTGCGCCAAAACCTTCGGCTACTCTTGTTGAATGAACAAGATAACGTTTACGTCAACTTTAAGCTTTTAAAATTCATTTAAGGAGAAACTTCCTTTCCGAGCAAAGGCAGAGTCGTTGAAATGGAAAAGAAGACCATTCTAGAGAAAAGACAAGTTAGACAGTGGAAACATGTTTTGCGGTAAGATACACAGCCACTTCCGACCCCAGGCGCCTCGGCCTCACTTCTTACCGCCACCTTTGCCGCCCTTGGCAGGTGGCGGTACCGCTGCCCTCCCCTTGCCTGCTTCCTCTGGTTTTTCTCCTTCCTTTGGCTTTTTGCCCTTTTTATCCTTTCGTGGAAGAATCCCCACACGCGCTTTGACCTTCTTGCCTTTGAAGTGTGTCATTTGAAGACAAACATCTATTAAAGCAACAAGTGCAGCCACACCGATAAGGATCTGGGAAACAAAAGAATCCTCGTTACTTGTGCTTTTCCTTCCAAAGCTGTCACAGTTCCTTCCCGGCTCGTGACTGTCCGTAGGTGCTGTTTAACCCCTTCCCTTGACCCCTCAACCTGCCAGACCCCAGAGAGACTTTGGGTTTGCCCCTCCCCTGGCCTCAGCTCCCCGATTCTGATCCCCATCCCTGTAGCCGGTCACCTCACCACATTTTCTTTCTCTCTTTGGACCCCGCCCGGGTGGGGCCCTTCGCTCTGGGGCCGGCAGGCAAGCTTCTGGGGGGAAGCTCTTAGCTGGGTGGCCTCCCTGGACATCATCTTCCTTTCAATGGCTTCTCCCCCGGAAACGTTGACCCAAGTTACCTTTAAACTTTGCTTGGATCCTAAGATTTTGTGAAAAGAGACCCTTTTCCTTAGGGGAAAATAACCATTCTCCAAATGAGGTGATTTCTGAACAAGTAAACAGCCCAACATGAAAGACTCACCACACCATAAATGTAGTGCATTGGCATGGTTTGCCGAATTTTCACGGCAGAGAGGGCGGCCCCCACGAGGAAAGCACTGGAGGACAGGTCGTTGAGAAGGTCCTGAAAGCATGGGAGAGATGAGTCGGCCTTAGAGCCGAGGCCCCGTCAACACCAGACCTGGCCTAGCTTCCTCCAAAGGGAATGGTTTTCAAACTTCTGCCTGATTTAAAAAATATATATAGGAAGATGAATATTTACTGGGCTAGGTGGACATACCTGTGGCCTACCAGCTGGACTCTTTGAGTTGAGACACAAAATCCAGGATGCTTAACTGCCTTTACGGGCTGCCTCGGCTACCATCCCGTCTGTGAAATCACACATTTGGTGGCTATGTTTTCCCCCCTTCCAGTGCCCACTTAAATAAATGCATGGCTCTCCAACTAATCGATGTCCCGCTTGGGTACCACCTCACAGCATCTTTCTACTCTGAAGGCCAGCTCCTCTTTCTGAATCCAGGGTGGGCTGTGTTGCTGGCAGGAGGTTCTGTTGGACTCTGGTCCTTCACTGGGAGCCTGGCAGCTGCCTCTTCCCCCCCTACTCATCCCTTCCCCCACCTTACTTCTTAGACACCGACCCCCCCTCCCCCCCACCCCGCCTTTGCAAGGCCACGTCACTTCCTCCATCATCCACTCTCCTTCCCGTCCCTTGCGGCCACAGTCCTGCCCTAGCTCCATATTTGTTTCCCTTACCCTATACTGACAAGGTCCAGATGTTCCCAGACTGGGCAAAAGGGCTGCCTCCCATGCTGCCTTCCTCTCAAGTACCACCCACTGTCACTCCCTGGCACAGCCAAACTTAACTCAAAGTTGGCCAAACCATGGCCACAGCAAGCCGGCTTCCTCCCCCATCACTCCTGGGGTGATGCTGGCCCAGAGCTTGCGCATCCTCTTAATCCCATGGGCAGCAGCTGACCCTGCAGTGCTGGGTGACGCCCATCTTTCCCCTTGATTTCTCTGATGCCATTTTCTGGGGTTGTACTTCCCTGGCCACTTTGTCTCAGGCCTTTTCTCTTCCTCCTCGTTCTGGATTTTAACACACTTCAAACATACAGAAAATAATAGAACATCCCATCCCCAATCCCACCTCCACCAGCCGTGACCCACTGAGATTAAACAGATGTTAATGTCTTGCAATATTTGCCTCAGGGCTCTGAAAACAAAAACAAACCATAAACAAAAAAACTTTGTGGAATGAGCTACAGTCTTACCATTCCATCCCTTTCCCTGCCTTCTGCATGTGTTCCAAGTCTATGGGTAGTCTTCCCAAGTGCACAGTAGTATTTTCCTCCATATTATATATTCATAAACAATATATACTATTTTGTGTTTCAAAAATTTAAATAAAAAGATATATCTTATAGCATGTGCTTTTTAAACTTAAAAACCTTTTTTTGAGATTTACCCATTTTGAGAAATATATGAGATTGAAATTAATGAGATTGAATTCATTGATTTTAGCTGATGTATGAATAAACCAAACTGGAGACGTTAGGGTGTTTCTCCCTTTTAGGAAATTATTATTGCCAACTGTGCCTGCAGTGAACACTCTTGTCTGTGCCTCCCATGCACATCTTTTCCTTGTTGAGGTATTGCCAAGTTTCTCTCTAAAGGGCTTGTGCCAGTGTCCACTCATGCCCGCAAATGTATAGGGGCTCCTCTTTCCCATGTCCTTGCCAAAGCCCAGGATTACCATGCTCATTTATTTCTGCCCATCTGGTGAGTTGAAATGGTACCTCATTGTTGTTTTAATTTTCTGATCGCTGGTTACTAATGAAGCATTTTTAAAAACATGTTTTAGGCAGTTGGGTTTCCTGTCTATTCATATCCCTTACCCCATTTTTCTATTGGCTTGTTTTAAAAATTTTGTTTATGATGTCTTCTGTTGTAAAGTTTTAATTTTAATGGTATGCATAGTTTCTCTTTCTTTCTCTTTCTCATGGTCCCAAGAACATTTATTAAATACTCCATTCAGCTGTGTTATGCCACCTCTGTCATATGCCAAGTTGCCATATGTATGTAGGTCTATTTCTGGGTTCTCTTTTTTATTCCTATATTAGTCTGCTCAGGCTGCCATAACAAAATGCCACAGACTGCGTGGCTTAAACAACAGACATTTATTTTCCCACAGTTCTGGAAGCCAGGAGTCCATGATCAAGGCACCAGCAAATTCAGTTTCTGGTGAGGACTCTCTTCCTGGTTTGCCTGGCTGCCTTCTCACCATTTTCTCATATGGCCTTTCCATGGAGAGGAGGTAGGGGGAGGGATAGGGGAGAGGAAGGGGGAGGGAGGTCTCTGTTGTCTTTTTTTATAGGGACATTAATCCTATCAGACCCTTAGGATCTCATTTAATCTTAATTACCACTCTGGAGGCCCCATATGCAAGTATAGCCACACTGGGGATTAGGATTTCAGCATATGAATTTTGGGGGTACACAAACATTCAGTCCATTAGTCTTTGTCAACCCCTGAGCTAGTACCAAAGCTTTATAGTAATTCCAATATGTCGTTGGGTGAGTCCATCCTTATAATTCTTTTCATTCTTCCATAAGAATTTTATTTATTTATTTTTAAAATACATTTATTTATTTATTTTTAGCTGTGTTGGGTCTTCGTTTCTGTGCGAGGGCTTTCTCTAGTTGTGGCAAGCGGGGGCCACTCTTCATCGCAGTGCGCGGGCCTCTCACTATGGCGGCCTCTCTTGTTGCGGAGCACAGGCTCCAGACGCGCAGGCTCAGTAGTTGTGGCTCACGGGTCCAGTTGCTCCACGGCATGTGGGATCTTCCCAGACCAGGGCTCGAACCCGTGTCCCCTGCATTGGCAGGCAGATTCTCAGCCACTGCGCCACCAGGGAAGCCCCATAAGAATTTTAGAATCACCTTGCAAAGTTCCACAAACAACCTCTGTTATAAAATTTCATTTAATGTGGAGATTGCTTTGGAATGAAATTGACATCTTTATGATAGTAGCTCTTCACATCTGTGAATGTGGTATATTTCTTCTCTTACTTAGATTTTTCTTCTATGTCCATTAACAAAATGTCATAATCTCTATGTAAAGTTTTACAATCTTTGAACGGGTGTATTCTCAGACACCTGTAGTTTCTGTTGCTGTTTTAAATGGTTTCTTTGAAAAGCCATATTTTCTCATTATTTGTTGCTGGTATTCAGGAACACTATTTTTGTTTTTTGTAACCTTGTGGAACTCAATCAGTTCTAGTAATTTGACTGTAGATTCTTAGATTCTCTGTGTAGAGAATCATATTATCAGTGAGTAATGCTAGTTTTTTTCTCCTTCCCAATCCATATACCCTTTGTTTTTCTTGTCACATTGTACTAAGATCTTTAGCACAATGTCAAATAGAAGTGGGGATAATAGGCATCTCTAAGGAAACGCTTCTAACATTTTACCATGAAATGCAATGTTCATTTTAGGTTTGGGTGGTTTTCTGTTATTAAGTTAAGGAGGTTCCCTTTTTTCCTAGTTTGCCAAGAGTCTTCCAAAAATTAGTATTGAATATTACTAAATAGTTTTCCTACAGTTTATGAGATGATTAAATGGTTTTCTCCTTTAAATAAAAGATGGTGAATTATGTTAACAGAATTTTGAGACAAAACCACCTTTACATTCCTTGCAGATGCCCTGCTTGATCCTGATGCATTGCTTGCTTATATATTGCTTGATCTAGTTTGCTAGTATTTTATTGAGAATTTTTATGGCTGTATTCAAATAATATAGGCCTATAGTTTACTTTCCTTATTATGTCTGGTTTTAAGATCAAAGCTTTACCAGATGGTACAACATATTATAACCCCCCCCTTTTCTTTAAGAGAAAAAGGGACAGACAAGTAGAACTGAATATGAATCTAGAAATGAACTGCATATGGGATTTTATTCTTTTATTTTTTTTTTTGCCACACGACGTGGCATGGGGGATTTTAGTTCTCCAACCAGGGATCAAACCAGTGCCCCCTGCAGTGGAAGCGTGGATTCTTAACCACTGGACTGCCAAGGAAGTCCCACGTATGGGATATTAGCATTTAACAAAAATGCCATTTCAAATCAGTGGGGGGAAGTTGTACTAGTCAGTAAATGAATAAACTGAGTGATAGGGTGGAACAGTTGGAGAGCCATCGGGATACAAAGCTGGAGCCATGGTTCATACCATATACCAAAAGGACTCCAAATAAAAGATTTAAATGTAAAAAATGAAACAAGTGCCAGATGAAAACATGGATGAATTATTTTATACCCTGTTTTTCTATTTCTTTTTCAGTCAATTTTTGTACATCATATGTTTTTCTGGGATATTATCATATTATAATTTATTGGCATAAAAGTTCATATTTTCCCTGTGATCTTTAAAACCTCTTCTTTATACTAATATTTTTCTTTGTTCTCTTTTTTTCTTATGGTTTATCTACTTTATTAGTCTTTTCAAAGAACTAGATTTTGGTTTTATTAGTCATCACTATGAATCTTTGTTTCCTATTTTATTAATTTTAACTCTTTGACATTGCTTTCTTAATTCCTTTTTTTGTTTTGTTTTGGTACCTCTTTTTAAAAAAATTTTATTTATTTTTTTATACAGCAGGTTCTTATTAGTTATCCATTTTAGACTTATTAGTGTATACATGTCAATCCCAATCTCCCAATTCATCCCACCACCATCACCACCCCAAGGCCCCTCCTCGCCCCACTTTCCCCCCTTGGTGTCCATACATTTGTTCTCTACATCTGTGTCTCAATTTCTGCCCTGCAAACTGGTTCATCTGTACCATTTTTCTAGGTTCCACGTGTATGCGTTAATATACAATATTTGTTTTACTCTTTCTGACTTACTTCACTCTGTATGACAGTCTCTAGGTCCATCCACGTCTCTACAAATGACCCAATTTCGCTGTAATAAATTGGCTGAGTAATATTCCATTGTATATATGTGCCACATCTTCTTTATCCATTCGTCTGTCGATGGGCATTTAGGTTGCTTCCATGTCCTGGCTGTTGTAAATAGTGCTGCAATGAACTTTGGGGTGCATGTGTCTTTTTGAATTATTGTTTTCT